ATGACAGGCTTTGTTATGTTTATATTTAGATCATTTCATTAATTTTATTTTCCAGGCGAATGTGCTATATATTTTTAATCGAATGATATACGTTTTACTTTTAGTTTAGAGACTTTCCAAAAATAATAAACTTATCCGAGACAATACGTTTCATATTTGTTTTTAAGTTTCTATACACTATAATTCACCATCTAAACCTCATAGACACATTTAAATACTTGATATGTTCAAAGCTTTAGATTTTAAACGAGAGCTGCCCGAGGAACAATGTGCTCCGCATTTTTCAATACTTGATAATATGACGAAGGCAAAGTGGAAAAGGTGTTATAATGCTGATAAACTGTTTTGTATAACTTTCTGCTAATATATTCAATAAGTGATATAAGATGTAAAAAGGTATTTACTTCAGAAAATCTGCTATTCAGGTTTGTCTGTCCTTTGGAAATGCATCCCTATTTTACATGTAATAGTGAACAAGTATTTCAAGTTTAAGTGAATATACTTGATAGCTTTTGAGAAATTTACCTTAATAAAACGTTTATCAGCGCAAAAATGTCTTCATAAAAAGGGGTCTTTACAAAATAAAACTTCATGATAATCTGTCCGATATTGAATTACATGACGATACTAAAAAGATCAATGTGGCAAGTAGTACTCAACAATTGAAGTTTCAATGTTATAACTGTATTACTATTGAAGTTCAATACCATAAACGAAAACTTTAACAAAGTTTAAGGTTAATCAACACTTATTATATCTTCGTATCATGTTTAACTTTTGTCACGTTCAAGCAGTTACATTTCTTATGATTAATTGTTTTGTATGGAAGACAAAATACAACTTTGTTTTAATTTTGCTTCCTTTATCACAATTGTTTTGCACTCAACGTTATTTTCTTCAGGTGATCAGGATAAGCAGCATGTCACATCATTACGGACTCTACTGAGGTTTTTGACATGAAAATACGTTAATGAACCAATATTTATTATTGTACACCAAACTTGAAGACATTAATTAGCATGAGACATTATACTTTAAACCTCATAAAAAATATTTGCATGAAACGTTTATTTTTCAAGATTATTCGTGAACATGACACCATGACTAGCGTATTAATGGCGACATTTTGTACGCTGTTGTAGCAGCCGTAAGAGCTAATTCATTTATTTAAGTTTAATTTTGAATAAAATATTTTTTTTCGTTAACTTACTGTGTTATTAGTTTCGGCAATAGCGTTGCACAGATTCGGCGTCACTTTTACGTTATATGCACATTCCTGCGTTACTGGATATACTCGTACGGTGTTGTCGCACTCTCCAATTGTCTAATTTGTGAAAACTGACCCGAAATTGTTGTGACGCGTTGTAACGCTTTTCACTCAATTGGGCTAAGAACAGCACACAAATAGATTTTCACTTCATTTTAAAGTAAATTTCTTAATCGTGTTTTGCATATCTTTATTAAATGTCCCAGCTGATCATTGTTAGAAATAAAACAAAAAAACTTTTGACCTCAGTGGAGTTCTTTGAAAGATATAATTGCCCTTTCTAAAAAATAAAAATATTTATTTTAGGAGACTTTTCTCGCTTTAAAACTTGATAAAAATGTGCTAAGATTAAAAAAAGAAAGAAAGAAAGATTCAAGTAGTAGTTTTCACGTTCGTGCCTAAAATAATGCACGGAAGTGGCACCTGAGGTCTTCCTCCACCAGTAAAGCTGGAACGTCGCGATATGACCTATACTGTGTCGATGTGACGTAAAACCAAAAACAAACCAACAAAAAGAAATGAAGTCTGTATGAAACATTAATGAAACATTGTGCCACCTGAAAGTTAATTGGTTTCTAGTTTTCTATTATTTCAATTGTCAATTGATATATGTTGAAGTATGTCATTTTACTTCGTCATTTATAACTGATACAAGTAACAAAGAACACTATTTCGTGTCAATTTGAAATTTGTAAAAAAACTGCTGTCTCATTTCTTCATTTTTATTATTATTATACATTTCGTCATTTGTTTTATTTTACAGAAATGATTTATTGGCAATTCAAACAGCTGAATAGTTAACTATACTTGTTTATCTGCTTCAACTGTGATTAATCGTTTGTCCCTCTACATCGCTGGAGAATTCATTCTGTAACAGGATATATATCACTCATGTCTAGTAAGTGTTTTACAAAAACACTTCTATATCCCTGATAATATTGCTCGTGGGATGTTGTTTATGCATTTTTCAAAATCACAAATACCGTTATTTTGTCGAATTTTACATAGTTACATAGTAAATCGATGAATCTGTTGGAAAAAAATAATAATCGATCATTTTGTTGTGTTTTTTTATGTTTTGAACGCCAATTTTAACACATGGCTTGGTCCTAGCCTGGTGGCCGATCCTCCTATACGGCTTTCCTGCATAATTTAACTGTAATTACTAATTTCTTTGCAAGTGGCCAACTAATGATCCCACATTATTTCTAAATCAGCGGTAACAAACTTTGAACATTTGACTCAATTTTGACATCATTGCCCCAATTACACAATACGCATGCTTTTGCGATAGATGACATGGACCCTTTATTTTTGTCTTCATTTCTGTTTACTCTTTAAAAACATTAAAACATTCTCATAAAATAGATCCAAATAGGTGCAAACTGGTAATATAAATACCAGAATTATTATGCTGATCTGGTCAAAAGGGTTGATTAGTGATAACAATATATTACGCAATCATGTAATACGTCTCTCCTCAGATAGTCATTTCAAAAATATCACTTAGAGAATGAATACGATAGGCTTCACTAGATTATTGAAGATTGAATTTGTTTGTGATTTAGTTGATATGTTATACTGTTAAGTATGTGTATGTGTTCGTACGTGCGTGCGTGCGTGCGTGTGCGTGTGTGTGTGTACGTCTGTGCGTGTGTGTGTGTGCGCGTGCGTGCGTGCGTGCGTGCGTGCGTGTGTGTGTGTGTGTGTGCGTTACTTATTGTTTTAAATTTAAGCTTTTTACTACATGATCCTTTTTAATGGTCTTGTGTGGCTACATATTGCCAGTTTTTGGAACTTTATTGTATCAATAAACATTGCATTTTATTCTAATTTCATTTCATTGTAAAGTGGGTAGAGCAGCCGCTGTATGTAATAAACTTTTTTTTAAAAAAGTATAACCAGTAAATGTCTATAGTGTTTCAATAATCTTTTGGTCGATTCACGAAAGCGATGTAACATACTAGAATGTTTCCGGAAGAAAACATCATTAAACTTAAACTTGGGTTTTATTATAGGGTTTTATGTGTTATCTGGATTTCGTTTTAAAGCAATTTACTACAATATTTCTTTCATCCAAGCATTTTTGAAGTATTCTTTATTAAGACTCAAACAATAATTTTTGCAGTAAATAAATAGCTGCAAATTTAGAATGTATGAAATACTTTAATGATCAATCTGTCCTTCATTTGTTTTGTAATTAATCATAGTTCGAGAGGAAACTACGAAAACTAATAGTTTCATTAAGCACTTTTTTTTATAGCCTATGAATTTTCAACTTCATTCTTAACGGCAAAATAACATCATTTAAGAACGCAATAAATTAATTCATAAAAGGCGCGCGGGAATGACATAATTCAAAGTTCGAGACTTGTCTTTCACCGGGGTGTTGAACAGGGTTTTCTAGCGGCGGTGTACACGATGAATAATCCTGTCTGATTCTGTCTTTTATGTATCAATTGCATTTTTCATTTTGCCGTGATGAATGAAGTTACAAATTCATACGCTACTTTAAGAAAAAAAGTGCTGCAAGAAAATAATAGTTTTCACATTTTTTCTTTTCACAAATATCATCAATGTGTAATTTGCATGAAAAAGAATAAATCAGGTAACTGTGTAGCGGTAATGAGGATAAGCAGGACTAAAAATATATCATATCATATGTTACATGGATCTAGTAATCAATTCTCTTTTAAAAACAAAAACATTAGTGGATTAATGTACAATGAACACAATTATCATAAATGTTTCAAATATTTATAAAAACAATAAAGTTGTTATATTTTGATATTCCTGTAAAATATTTTTTTCAAAAGATGTCGATAAAGCTCCTTGTGATGAAATAAAAAAAAACATTTGTATGATGACTATATAAATTTTTATCTGCTATATAAATGTATCTCATACTTGCCAACAACATACATGTATAATTCTTTCATGGTTTGTTGTTATGTTTGATACTCAATACTATAACACTTATTATTTATTGTTTTACAGACTTTCTATCATTTGCCAATTCACTTTAATGGTAAATTGTACAATTTTAAGTTGAAAAGAAACAACTTATCTAAAAAAGAGTATATTTAATTTTTGTTTCAATATAATTATAAATGTATTTATCCGTAACTAAGCGTTCCTCCGCTTATTCAAGATACAAATGTCCGGAGTATATATTTGTTGGGAACACGACGTAAGCTGGCGCTATTTTTACATTTAAAAAATGAGAAACTATATTGTTTTGTTTCCATAGAGTTATTTCTTTTTTCAATTTTATTTTCTCTTTACACACTTACGCAGCATAACCTATATTAATGAGTTTAAAACATTTAAGCAGGATAAGCCTTTTATTGCATGTTTTTCTGCAACCCGGCGATTTGCACAATCGATAATCAATTCAGCTAATCAATTAACTACCTGGCACAACAATCAATCACCTTAGTGTAGGTAACACCGTAATTGGCTCTAGAGGGGAAACATAAGAGTAGATCGTAATATTTCAACAGACTAAATCATGACCAAATTTTGTTTATTGTTCACTTTGTTGTTGTGGTTTACAGTTTTCTATCGCTGTATTTCCCTGTCTCAAAACGGCATAAGTGTTCGTGATTCCAAATATGACAATCTGGAATTTAGTAAAGATTTAATCAAAGAATATAACGGCGTCACTGCAACCATCGACTGTGCACTGTTTTGCGCGGGAACATTATCATGTATGTCGTTTACGTTGAATGAAATGAAACAAAACTGTCGTCTGCATCGGGCTGCTGCAATAAGTTTGAGCCAAGGGTTGAGGTCAGAAGGATGGATGTACTTTATTTATGGTGAACAGTGTCCCGTTAGTAATGGTTTCATTCACGATAGAGAGAATGATCTTTGCATTAAGATTTCTGAGCAACAACTGAAAGCTGATGAAGGAGAGCAGTTCTGTACAGATAATTCCGCAAAACTTATTACTCTTGAAACGGCCAGCAAACAAGCTCGTTTCGATAGGTTTCTTGCTAAGACGCCATATTCGTTCGTCACTGTCACTGACCGTTATCGGATTGGGTTGCACTACATTGCACCACAATGGGTCTGGAACAATGGAGACGTTTTGAGCTATGATAATTGGGCAGAAAATGAACCAAACTGCAAGTGTGCATGTGGTGGTATAACAGTATATTCTTCTGCTTGGAGCGATAATAGTGATAGATGCAAGAATCAAATTGCACAGTCAGTATGCGAGATAAAATAATATGAGGGTCATGTGCAAGTACAATTATATCAATGTTCTAAATAATATTACATATATTACATTATTGAAAAACCAGTGTTCTCTACGAATTCTTCACAGCTTTATGATTGTAAACAAACGCAAAAGATAAAACATTTCAGCTCTTTTTTATTTCATATCCAGTGTGACCGCCTCGGTCACACCGCCTCGGTCACACCGCCTCGGTCACACCGCCTCGGTCACACTGGATATGAAATAAAAAAGAGCTGAACTCTGAGCACTTTTTACGAAATTTTAACTTTTCTCTACCATTTAGTCAGGGCCGTCTAACCAGACCGTTAAAATTGGTGATATATAGTGAATATCCAAGTTTATTTTTCTAAATACAGGATTACTTTTCATCGAGTGGTATAGAAAGAAATATTCTATGAGTGGCGGTAGCCACGAGTGAATTATTTTAATTCTCTTACCACAAGATAAATATACCCTGTATTTATAGAAAAAAATTTAATTTTCTGTTTATCGTACACATTTCTTTTTTTATTTTGTCATTACAATCGAAATAGTTTGTCAGAATTTAGAAGAAACTAGTTGCAGTGAAAAAAAGATTTTTACAGTGAATTTAAGGAAATATATTATATTATAATATTACTGCAGTGAAAAATAATTTTTTACAGTGAAAATGCGTAAAATGGAAACAAGCATTTTATTTCATCAATATTTCTCCATATTTCATAAATTAGTATATGATAAACTACAATATTTGTGTTAAAGAGTGAAAGAGAACACATTGTTCACGGAATGCATCTACTAACAATATCTTACAATCGTCAGATGAGAAACCTGATTACACACTAACTTAAATGGAGCAAACTTGTGTGTACTCCTCTCGAATTTCAGTATTTGAATTGCAGTATGTTACAATCACGAACAGATTAACAGATTAATCAGCAATAATATACATGTATCTACGAGTTATAAGAATTAACTTTACAATATGTTTTCAACTAAATGGTATTTATAAACATTTCTATCTACAGTTTGTGCTTACATTATACTAAATCACAAATCAAGAAATATTTAAATTGATGTTTCAAAGTTTATACTTCAAGAAACTTTTAAAATTTCAATGATAATACAGTTTTATCTGAATTTAAAATAAAACATATACGCAATTTACTATCTCCTGATCAAAATTGTGTAATTGAACTTTTGAACTTTTGGTTCATTCTTATTAGTTATTTCTCGAAGTAATTTGTGGTGGTATTTGATTTTTTATACACCGAAAAGAAATCTGAATGTAACCGTACGTGAAAATTTCAAGAAAACAAATATTTTACATTTGTATTCAAAGGTTGAAAGTGAATCTTTGTTAGGGAAGAATGCAATACATTGTTTTTATCTATTTTTCTTGAATTGTTGTTGTTATTGTTTTTCCATTTAAAAAATTATTTATATTTATGTTCCTTCATATTCCGAAGCACTGAGTTTGCTACATTCCATTACGAAAACAAGAAAAATTCACGTACATATGCTAAACATTTCTGTACCCATTTTCTATTAAAACATTTGTTATTTACATTTTCGTCCATTTGACGAAAACAATGTTCTTATCTCGTAAACAAATAATGGGCTGCTCATCTGGTTGATGTCCTACAATGAGGTAGATTTTTGGGCCTTAATAATATGGAGCCAGTCTCAAAAGCACAGGAAATGATGACCCATCGAATTCAGCTTAAACATGTTGTCCATCTACTTAAAGCGGTACTATTTTGCATTGGACAAAACTGCATCAGCGCGGAACCGTATATGGTTATCATATATTTCCGATCGGTGTAATCCATTAATTTACTTATTTTTTTCCCTTGCTATTACCCACACAGACGTATTTTTGAATTTGCACTCGCGTAAAAGGGATACACAGCGAAACGACGAAACAACTGTGCGACGTTGCTTTATTTCGCTATGTGTGAAAACGCTTCCCCTATAACTCCAGCTAACACTATTCTAAAAATAGATTTGACTCAACCACCACTGCGTCACATGTGCTAGCTTTAGGACAAAGGATTAGCAAGTACACATTAATTAATATGCATGTTGTTAACCAGCGTTACAATATTTTAAGAACTTTTATACAATTGTAAGAAGAAATAAGTTATCGAATTTAGTGTGAAAAGGAAAGGGACAACTATAAGCACTGTGCTTATGGTACTTGTAGAAGTGACTCGAGACTCCAGATACCCGGACAGGCAAGGAATGGAACATTCTTTTCATACGATTTTCGGAAAATAAAAGGGAGCCGGTGAAATGTACTCGCGGGGGGGGATAAAGAAGTACACCATAACTTATCGATTATTTTAGGTTTCTAGTATAGTTATGGTTATTTAATATTTTGAGTGGAAGTCAAAATACTACTATCACATTCTGCTTCTTTTATGACAAATCATTTCACATTCATCACAATTTTCTTCATTTTGACTTATCCCTTTCCATTTAACCAATTCCTTCGTAGTCAGTTTACGCTTGTGCAAAACATCGCTTGTCTAAATTTTATTATACACTACATATTTGGTCTTAACACAATTGCTGATGCAATTGTGAGTTATTCTACTGAATAATACACCATATTACTTCAAAAGATATGTGTAATATACGGTAATGTACAGTAAATTTAACATTTTTTAATGACGTACTCGTTATATTCAACATCGGTAAGCTGCGAATAACTTAATAGTAGGACTTTTGATTTGTTCACTTGACAGGGTGAAAAACATATTTCCTGTCCTCCTTTTATTTCTCCATTTAAGGATCACCTTTAACATATATTTTAAAGTTGTTCTATAATTGCAATGATAAATCATCCTCACATGTATTGTGCAAGCTTTATTGTCCCGCTTCTGCTAGTTACGAAGTATTGCATACAAATTCTTAAAAGAAGTTTGAATTGTTTTGTTATGTCACTTTTCTGGAAATTCTTCCCGGCCGAAAATTGTCTGCAAAACCTCTTTTCACTTTTGCCAAAAAAAACGACATTTAAAAATGATGTAAAGATTTGAAAAGAAAAAGATCAAATTCTCCCGTCAACGATTCGTGAAATATTGCGCTAGGTGCTTGTAGCTTATTGATATTAAATTCAAAACATGCTGAATATCAAAGATGCCGGAAAATGATGTGAACAGACACAGGTAATGTACAAAATATATTACAGTTGAATATAACAGAAGTACTAATCATTTTTCATGTTCTTTATATGTGCTCGTTGTTTAATAATTAAGTTGCATATTTTTGTGAAAAAGTTGAACCTAATGCATAAATTTACAAAGTAATGACTTGTCTGAAATTCTGAAATGCTTGTTTGTTGCAACAAAGATTGAAAGGTCTGATCGAAGCAAAAGAAATTTGATAACAAGTAAAAATGAAATGATTGGTATACTTAAAATAAAATCCTGACAGAGGTCAAGAGAAATATCTCCGTTGCGCCAAGAATATGACCATTCAAATATTGGTGCGAATTTCATAATGTTCGAATGATTTTGACAATGAACTTTTCTCTTATTTTACAAATGGCAAAATATGTCTGTAAAAGCAATAATTGTTAAATATAATCAATTCTTAGTTACGTATTGTTTACTTATTTATAAAAGATTAAATTTCTTTATTAAACACAAGATTGCATATTTGCCTGGAATTTAGGTATAGAACCACTATAAAAAATCTAGGCAAAAGAGAACAATCGTCGTAGAATCCTTGCAAGTATTTGTGATACATTTATAAACAAACTAACCTTTTTCACTCAATTAATCTGTTATATATGGTGGCTTATTTACGCCATGTTGTATTTTTGCTTCTTCGCCTCAAAATGCGAAAAGGCGAAAACACGAAGGGACGACAAAGTTTGACTTTGTCGTCTCTTCGTGTTTTCGCTTTTTGCATTCTCGAGGCAATAACGCGAAAATACGACAGGAGGGCGAAAATACGACACATAAAATATGTCGCATAATCGCATTCAATCTGTCGTATTTTCGCTTTTTCGCGTTTAAAATACGAAAATGCAAAAACACATCTTCGCATTTTCTCATACTTAGTTAAATTTTCGCATTGTTACATTTTCGCTTTTTTTGCATTGTTACATTTTCGCATTGTTATATATCGCATTTTCGCGTTTCCGGTTGTACATGCGCATGGAGACATCAATTCATTATTTAATAGTCCTATATAAGATATGTTGTATTGAAGTAGATTTTAAATTTAAAAGTATCAGCCCGCTCCTTACACATGTAAAATAATTAAATAATATAACAGTAAGGCTTTCAGATTGTTTTGAATCAATTAATGCAACAATTATTGTAATAAATACAGTAAATTGTTCTACCCTCTTTAGATTATCAGTTTATTTTGCTGACGGGTGTGACGAGATTTAAAGGCACTGCCCACACACCATTTTATATAGATATGTCTGAGATTGAGGTGTATTTTTTACAGGAAAACATTTTATAATGTCTAAGTTTTTAAGACATACTTTATCTGATTACGTAGAATGCATGTTGGATTAAGTTCATTTAAAATTTATATAATAATATGTAAAGTCATTCTTATTCATTATTACATTATACCATGTTGTCAGGCGTTCCTCAGGTCTTTAAAACAAAGATCTGTTGATGTTCATTAATTCTGTCTTCCCCATATTGCACGAATATCAATAAAAGAAGAACAATAAAAATTTCATAGAAAAATGCGATAAATATATTGTAGTATTATACTGTGCTTCTCTTAGTTCAAGGTACTTAACGCAGGGAAACAATAATTGAATGGTACAAAAAAAGCCATTAGCTGTATCGTTTAGGGATTTTCAGATTCATGTCTCCATGCGAATGTGCAACTGGAACGCGAAAATGCGAAAATGTAACAATGCGAAAAAGCGAAAATGTAACTATGCGAAAATGTAATAATACGATAAAGTGAAAATGTAACAATGGAAAAAGCGAAAATACGACAGATGGAATGCGAATATACGACAAATT